ATAGGGATGAACGGGTTTAAGAGTTTAAGAGTTTTTAAGAGTTTAAGAGTTTTTAAGAGTTTTAGCCAAATGCATTATAATATAGTATAGATAAATAAGAGATCATAACTTACATTCTTAAAAAACATTACTAAGAAATTCATGGAAAAATTTGGTCATAAAAGTGCCTCCAAACGACGTCGTAGGACATGATAAAAACAGAAAACGACGACGCATGCCCGTGACAATGGTCAACACTTTCACCTCCTGACCAGCCCTTCGCCGTTTCGCGTAGCATCACCACCCGTCTCTCTCTCTCTCTCTCGAACTTCCATCTTTCCCCCTTCTCGCTCGCTCTTCCGTTTCTCTCCCGTCCGCCGGCTCGAAATCCGGCCAAATATCTCTCCGTTTCGCTAATTCACTCTCACATCCCACATAGATCTATACTATTATCCGAATTATTCGTTGGAGAAATCGTTTCGTTTCATATAAGCCCTAATTCTAATTTATTCCCGGTGGCCGTGGATTATTTATTGATCGGTTAATCTTCTGTATTCCGGTGTTTCTGTTGTTCGATAGCCGATCTGGAGGTGTTCAGGTGCATCCTATATTCCATGATCAATCATTTCAACCATTCTAGGGTTTCTGATTAAATAAAAGGGGATCACAAAATTGGCTATGTTAATTGATGGTTGTAGTCGGGCGCTACGCAGAACAAGATTTGATTATTGAGAAAAGCGATATCTTTGATTATGATGATGGAAGAAGGCTATTATGTATGGGCGGTGGGAAGGTGAGCTGTGGTTCMACCGGTGGCACATGTGGCCGGTCCCATCTTCCTCCACGCCGTCTGTAGCTGCTCCCTCCAATTCCTTCGTATTCATTGACACTAACTCTTTCTCCAAAGTATATATAAATTTTATTTCAGTAATATATATATATATATATATATATGTATATATATATGTATATATATATATGTGTGTGTATATATATATGCCTATCCGTAATTGTATGTATATCTATATATCTTCTTTGATTGGTTTATCTATTTGAGTGTTATTGTAAGTTATCATAATATCTGAATGCTATTACTTTGAATTTGTTTGAATGGAACTTCATGGTATTTTCCCCTTGTTACATTATAAAATCAACCTGTCTTCTCTTGACTCAAATTTACTGGGTACGTCAATACAAAACATGGCATTTCTTTTCGGATTTGAGGATAATTTTTTTAACTTATTGGATCATCCATGGTGGTAGTTTGGTGATCACTTGCTGTGTGCTTGTCAAGGTGGCTCTATTTGATTAACGAGTCTGTACGCAAGACTGGACCTATATTAGTCACCTCATGTTTCATTGGGTGTCAAACATTTTTCATTTCTTGTATTAGATGTGTGTGTGCCTATTAGTATCAAATGAGAGTTATTTTCTGTTGGGGTAATCGATTTCGGAATAATTCTTTGACGCCAAAACGTGGCAAAATGTAAATTCAAATGCTTTCTGAAATCTTGATGCTGTTTTTAAAATCTGTATGTTGATAATTGTGTTGATGTTTTCGGATTTGAAATTTTCTCTGTGATGTGCGGTTTTTGTGGTCACAAATTTGAGCAGTCTCTGGAACTCCAACATCCTCACTACATTTTCTATGGTCGTTTCTCATTGCCAGTGATTATGTGTTGTTAAATCTCATTAGATGCATATCTATTACACTGAGGGTGGGTGACTAGGCCATATGGGTTGTTGTATGCAATTTTAATGCAAAAAATATCCCTTAGGATCTAACAGTGCTTTTGTTTCCTTAGTTAATGTAGATTACTTGTAAAATTATAGCTACTGCTATGACACTAACTGTGATTGAAAGTGTATTTATTAAATATAGCTAAATAGTTTTCACTACTTTCTCTTGAAATGTGTACATAGCCTCTATTTCATCCCATTTTTTATCCTTCTTTTAGCTGAGTTAATAATACCTTCAATTGCTTTAATCTGGTTAATTTCTTGCAGGATGGTCGAAAGATTCATGTTGGTGACTGTGCTCTGTTCAAGCCATCCCACAATTCCCTCCCATTTGTTGGTATAATTCGTAGATTAATAGTAGGAAAAGAGAACAATCTAAGTCTGAGTGTGAACTGGCTTTATCGGCCTGCAGACGTAAAACTTGAGAAAGGTGCTCCGCTGGAAGCAGCACCAAACGAGGTCTTCTACTCGTTTCACAAGGATGAGATACCTGCTGCATCTTTACTCCATCCGTGTAAAGTCACATTCCTTCCTAAAGGTGTTGAACTTCCTTCAGGGATATTCTCATTTGTGTGCCGGCGAGTGTATGATATTGAGAGCAAGCGTTTATGGTGGTTAACAGATCAAGACTACATTAACGTGAGTATAATTGTTCAAATTGTCTTGTTCATATCACCCTTATCTGTTGAAAATTATCTTGATTGGATATGTAGTCTTATTTGACACAGGAACGACAAGAAGAAGTAGACCAGCTATTAGATAAGACAAGGATAGAAATGTATGGAGCAGTGCAGACTGGAGGGCGTTCTCCAAAACCCTTAAATGGTCAAAATGGGACAGCACAACTAAAACCTAGTTCAGATAATGTACAGAATAGTTCGTCCTCTATTTCATCACATGCGAAAAGTAAAAAGAGAGAACATAGTGTTCAGAATTCCGACTCTATCAAGCGTGAGCGCTTATCGAAAGTAGATGATGCAGATTCTGGTCAACTAAGATCAGAACAAATAATAAAGACTGAGATTGCTAAGATCACTGATAATGGAGGATTGGTCAATTTTGGAGGGGTTGAAAAACTAATACAGCTCATGCGACCTGAGAGTGCTGAGAAGAAAGTAGACCTGGCTTGCCGGGCAATGCTTGTTGATGTAATCTCAGGAACCGAAAGGTTTGATTGCCTAGGTCGGTTTGTTCAGCTGAGGGGATTATCTGTTTTGGATGAATGGCTTCAAGAGATCCACAAGGGGAAGATCGGTGATGGTAGTCCCAAAGAGAATAATAAATCTGCCGAGGAATTTCTTTTCTCTTTGCTTCGTGCCCTGGACAGGTTACCTGTGAACCTTCATGCGTTACAGACTTGTAATGTTGGGAAGTCTGTCAATCACCTACGTAGCCATAAAAATTCTGAAATTCAGAAGAAAGCGAGAAGTCTAGTCAGCACATGGAAGAGTCGTGTAGAAGCTGAAATGAATATCATTGAAACAAAGTCTAGTACAAGCCGAGGAGGTTTCTGGCCTAGCAAGTCAATGATGTCTGAAGTTTCTCATATGGGTAGTAGACGGATAGGTGGTTCTTCTGAGGTTGCTCCCAAGAGTTCTACATCACAACCTTCTGCACTGAAAGTTCAACAACCAAAGCATAACTCCGGTGAATCTATCTCCAAATCACCAACATCTCCCAGCTCTACGAAATTGTCGACACTGGCTGCAGCTGGGGGAGGATCCTCAGATATGCCTTCATCAGCAGCTAAAGAGGGAAGAAGTTGCAGTTCTAGTCAATCGCCAAATAATAGTCAGTCTTGTTCTAGTGATCATGGGAAGACTGTGGCTTCCTGCAGGGAAGATGCTCGGAGCTCTGCTGCTGGGTCCTCGAGTGTAAATAAGATCTCTAGTAGCGTTTCTCATAGTAGGAACTCAAGCAATGGTTTCCATGGATCTACAATCCCAGGAGTTCAGAAGGAAGGGGGTCTTGGAAAAATTGGTTCTGTGAATCGGAATGTCGCCTCCGAAAAGGGATCACCAACTAGATATACATCCGAGAGAGTGTCTGATGTGTCTCTTGTAGATAATGGCAACAGCCACAGACTTATTGTGAGGCTGCCCAACACTGGTCGAAGCCCTGCACGAACCGTCAGTGGGGAATCTCCTGAAGACTCTTCCACAGTATCTGGTAAGGCTTCTGTTGTGGTACCTTCTGAGAAGCAAGATCACCATGATCAGAAGGTAAGTGGAAAAATTGATGTCCTACAGGGAAACAATACACCAGACATGGATGCGAATTTGCCTAAGGGAAAAGATGGATTGGTTGGCCATGATGAAGTTAAGGAGGCGACTGTTGGGTTACCCTTTGACGATCGTGGTAGAATGACTGAGGCATCTTTAGGCAGTGGGTCATCATCCGGGGTTACTCCAAAACCAGTAAGATTATACGATGCTTCTTATAGCTCTATAAATGCATTAGTAGAGAGCTCTGCCAAGTTCTCTGAAGCAAGTGTGTCTCCTTCTGTGGGTGATGATGTTGGAATGAATCTTCTTGCCAGTGTGGCTGCTGGTGAAATGTCAAGATCTGATGTNATGAATCTTCTTGCCAGTGTGGCTGCTGGTGAAATGTCAAGATCTGATGTATCACCCGCATGTTCCCCTGAAAGTAATTCACCTTTACCTGAGGACTCGTGTTCTGCGAATGTTGCTAAGTTGAGGCGYGAAGATAATATCAGTGTGGCAAATGGTCATACAATGGTGGAGCAGATTAGTTCTGTTGACTCSTTGTCTACAAAAAGTAGACCGCCGCAGCAGACGCCGCCTTTTACGACCCACATTTCTGGAGACAGTAAAGATGCATCATTTGGYTGTGAGTTGAARAYCCWKGAGGATRATWTAMGATTGGATTCACCYGTTRTAGAWTYGCCGCAAAATGGCAATGCTGTTGTTATKGCYCCAGWGGTAAAGCCTGCTGGTTTGATRGAAGATGAAATAAATGGTTGTAAAGAGGGAGATGGAGCTGTTCAGTCTGAAGRTCAWMGGAAATTCTCTCCWAATTGGTCACGAAGTGTTAATTTCTCAAATATGAAACCTAAYAGCGGAAGTMCATCWTCAGATGAAGACAAGAATGCKGGAYGTGCTGATGATAAAGCRGCAAAAAATRRYGWTGTTCTKCCGGRCGCAGCTGCTACWAGTKCMAAGATTGAGACACAGRKYAATGAAGAATCAGCTTCTTGGTCMTCTTCAGATATGCATGYRRATGATAAGAARTTWGYCCACAAACAAYCAAGCARCWGCAACTTAGYATTGCYAGAAGAACTCCRTGGCAGRCTRAARGKTGAGAAYWCWACAGTAGCCACCMCTTCTTGTGGTGATGTTGATTTAGTACCAAAATCTGAAGATGCTGATGACAAAAAGGCAGGTGTTCACGCTGAACAGAGCGAGCGACAAAATATGGATTCTGGCGCATCAGTTCAGCGCAGTATTGAACGTACCGATGAACCCCTTGGTCGTAATCCTGGTGTTTCAGTGCCCACTGACAAACCTCCTGCAATTGCAATTCAAGAATTAAGATCGTGTGAAAAGCCTACGGATGTAGCAGATATGGCTGTGAAGTTGGATTTCGATCTGAATGAGGTTCTTCCCAACGATGATGGGATTCAAGGAGAGGTTGAAAGGTCTTCCATTTCGGGAGGTTTGGCTGCCATCCACTCACCTAGCCCTTTACCTTCTAATAATGGCAATCGGTCTTCTTTGATTACTGTAGCTGCTGCCGCCAAAGGACCTTTTTGTTCTTCAGAGAACCTCTCAAGAGGTAAGGCTGAGCTCGGTTGGAAAGGGTCTGCTGCCACCAGCGCATTTCGTCCAGCAGAGCCTCGAAAGRCATCAGATGTTCCGSTTYCTGATAATCATAGCAGTAAACAGGCTCGYCCGCTTTTAGAYTTTGACCTGAATGTTGGGGTTGTCGAKGATGCTGGCCAAAACAATCGTGCTCTTAGCGGCGGGAGGCTTGATCTTGATCTGAATGCATSTGAAGAGAGTYCGGATGTTGTGCRGYTRTCKGTTTTCARCAGTGGTAGGCCTGGYRGCATWGAGCAATTRCCKCCAAGRTCACTTCAKTCTCGTGGGTTTTTWAACTCCGAACCMAATTTRTCACGGGGGTTTGACCTGAAYAAYGGACCYGGYGTGGAWGAAGYTGGCKGTGAATCAGTATCRTTTTCCAAAAATGGTATGCAGTTTTTGCCGGCTGTTCCGAATGTCAGAATGAACAATATGGATATCGGTAACTTCTCACCTTGGTTTCCGCCAAACAATGCCTACCCGGCAATCACAATCCCGWCAATTCTTCCGGGTMGAGGRGATCCGAGTTATCCSGTTKCTCCTGCTGCGGTTMCRCAAAGAATGTTGACTCCCGTGACGGCTAGTACCTCACTTAATCCCGAATTATTCCGGGGTGGTCCGGTGTTGTCATCCTCTCCTGCAGTTGCATTTCCGTCAACCATGCCATTTCAGTATTCAGCATTCCCATTTGAAACAAATTTCTCGCTACCGTCAATTTCAAATACGTTTTCTGCWGTCWCAACGGCCTATGTGGATTCTTCATCATCCGGTGGGACYCTTTGTTTCCCAACCATTCCGTCACAAACACAGCTGGTCGGACCTAACGGTGTGGTTTCTATGCCTTATAGGCCATACTTCATGAGCATGCCTGGTGGTGGTTCGAGTAACGTTGGTCCTGATGGTCGAAAATGGGGAAGCCAGGGTCTRGATCTWAATRCTGGCCCCGGAGGYGGTGCKGACGATAAGTTGGGTTCYGGATTAAGACCGATRCCTCTTGCTGGTTCTCAARCTATGGACGAYGARCAGTTAAAGWTGTTTCAGCAAATGGCGGCAGGTAGCGGAGTATCAAAGCGGAAAGAACCCGATGGCGGGTGGGATGGAGATCGGATTAATTACAAACGTCATCCGTCATGGCAGTAGAAACACATTCTTGCGTTGCCTGGTGAGTCCTCCTTTTCAGTTACATGATAGATGACACTTCGACATGCTGAATGGAAAAAATGGATCAAAATGTAATAAAAGTTCGATTTAGTTTCTTTTTTGTGTAACAATTTCTTTTTTCTTAACAAAGCTTCAAAATTTTATTTTTTGTATTCGTTTTGTTCTATTACCTGCTCATTTTGTACCATTTGATGGTGGGGATACCGTTTTATAAAAGGTTTACAACAATGTAGACGATAAACTTGATCTCCATGTCATCAAAATGGGTATACAAATTGGAAAGTTTGAAACTTAGTTACATTCAAAGTTTTCTATTTTATATCCACCTTTGACCAATAATCTACTGATCTTGTAACATTCGTTGCATTTTCAAGATCATTCGTTGCATGTTAATGCATTTCCAAGATCATTCGTTGCATGTTAATGCATTTTCAAGATCATTCGTTGCATCTTGATGCATTTTGTAGATCATTTGTTGCATTTTGATGCATTTCGTCTTATACTGATTTTTGCTTTTTTTTTTACGTATATAGTATTTATATACGGCAAAATTTGCATTCGTTTGATATAATTACGTTTACAGGTGGAGACCTCCGATTGGTGGCCGAAGTGGTTTGAGGGTTTGGAGAAAAATATGCCCCCCATCTTGTTTATGAGACCTGCCTTCCTTATTTGTATTGGGGGTGTGTAATGAATGCATTGCATTGTTGGTTGAAATAGTTATCAATGTTTTAACTTGTTGAAAAGCTTTTGCCTACCCGAAACAAGCCAAGGAATTGATTTCAACACACACACACATACACGCATTCATAGAGGAACATCATGTAACCATTCATCTGTTTGAAGTTGTTTCTTGGTTTGTGTGCATGTTATGCACATGTGCGTTCAAGACAAAGTACTTGTATGCGAAGACTCTGGTAAACCGTTCATCTGTATGGTATGCACACGTGCATACAAGTAATTTGTCATATATGCACATGTGCATTACATGCACACAACCCAAGAAATAACTTCAATTCAGATGCATACAAGTAATTGAAGTTGTTTCTTGGGTTGTGTGCATGTTATGCACATGTGCATACAGGACAAGTTACTTGTATGCACGTGTGCATATCGTACAGATGAACGGCTACCATCTTCCTCAATTTTTTTGTGTGGTTTTCATCCGACTATACACACACACACATTTTGTGTGTGTATGTAGAGTGCCAGTTCTTTTGGGTTTTGTATATTAAATTTATTCCTTCCCTTACTGTTGTTTGTTTACATTCACCTAGGGTGCGTTTGGTACACGGATAGGATTGTACAATATTGATCGAGATTGGATTGGACTGGACAGACGAGAGGGAGGTAGGCAAATGAAAGATTTATAGAAGGTTCTAGTTTTAATACGGGTTGTTTAGTAATTTATCTCTATCTTTACTGATTTTTGTTCTACTTATTTTGGTGGGACAAAAAGCTTTTTGTCTCGTCAAGTCATGTTTTGTCTCACTGTAATTGTCTTGTCAGATGCAAGACAATAAGTTTTTTATTCGGTTTCGTGTACCATACGCATCCATAGAGAAGTAATAGGGACCGATTAGCATAGATCTACACTTCGTTGGGACCTGGTTTTGTCGGGAAGGACCAGGTTAAGCCATGGATTAGATCTGGTCGAAGGGTTGATACGAATGGGTAAAAGGTCGACGGCTAAATCTGATCGCTAAAGGGTTGGTTTTAATAGCTAGAACGATCTGTATGGCTAAAGCTCCAAAGGTCTTAATGGCTTGGATATAGTTGATCTCGATGGCAGAAGATCTGAATGGCTGGAAACTTTACTCCTTTTATATTTACTTTATGTCCGTGCAATAAGACGTCGACACATCTTTTTGTTGTTGCCCTGCTACAGTTTAATTCAAGTAGGCGCCCCTCTACTTTTAAATCATCCCCTAACATTTACGTAAGTACCTCGTATAGTTATGTCAAGTGATTTTTATTCGCCGATGGTTCCTTAGACGGGGAAGGACTTTATCCACTGCTGGAGAAGATGGAGGTGGTCGAATGAGAGGGGATGAAGATGGGTTGCAACGATGGTAGGTCTATGGTTGCGGGTTCGTTTAGCTTTTTAGGTGGATGTTGGTGGTGGCACCGGTGGAACTGGAGATCGGCAACCCCGTGTAAGGAATTGTAGGCATTCATGGGAACGAGAAGGGGGATATCGTGGCTGTGGCTGTGGCTGTGGCGGTGCTAGTTCGTTGGAGATAGAGGAAGGAGGCCGTGAGAGTCGCCGGGTAAAGGGCAAGGGCGTTGGAGGAGTACCTGTTACGTATATAAATATACTCTAAATATTATATTATATAATTACGATAAAGAGTAAATTACAGATTTCATCCCGATGATTATATAAAAATTATGGATCGGGTTGTTGTGGTTTCATTTTCGTTTATGGATCAGGTTCCTTGTGCTAATTCTGTTAAACGAGTTCCATTAATTCCGGTGTATTTGGTCAATTTGCATTAGATGTTGTGGTGTTGGAAAGGAAAAAAAGGGTTGTTAACAATGTTTGGGTCTGATAAGTTTGTTTGATAGTTGCTGAATGATTTGGTGCAGAATAATTAAGTGGTCAGAGTGATTAAGAGACTCACATGATATAATGTAAAATGAAAAATAATTGTTTGGTAATTATTTACAATGAAATTAGGGCGTTGAATGGTTAAAAGGAGGCACATGATACAGATTCATTCATATGGTTTTAGAACTATTAAGAGACATATTTTTTTTTTTTGTCAAACAAGATTCACCTCTTAACGATTCAGAGATTGTCTCTTAATGGAACTATTAAGAGGTAAACAAGCAACCCCTTAGATTGTTGATATTAAGGTTTAATTTGCTTTTAATTTTGGTACATGGATTTGTATATGTCGTTGGTTTCTTTGGTGAGGTTAAAAGAAAATAGTGAATTAGCAAAAGGGACCTTATCCATAATGAAAATGAAATTACAAGGACCCGCTCTGTAATCAAAGAAAATTCAATCCATAATTTTTATATAACCACATAGACGAAATATGTAATTTACTCTAGTATAAATATATTAATTAATTATATTTTTAAATCAAAATAAAAGAAAATTGGGATATGACTATAATGCCCCTCATTTAGGTTGTTAATCATGATGATGATTCGTCTATAATGTTTTACCTTTTGATTAACCTAAATATTCAATCAGCTATGCGAGTCGACTAATCTCAAGGCAACCACCTGCTTTGCAGATAGTCTGGAGTCATCGCATTTGAACCTCCGTGGTCACAAAATGATTTTTTATTCCTCCTTGAATTTGAACCTGGGACCTCCAGGTACTTTTGACCTTTGAAGTCAAGCTCAAACCAATCAGACACCATTCTTGTAGTTTTTCGTCTATAATTTTGAAACTATAAAAACAAAAATCACAATCGACAAACTAAAGGGACCAAAAATGTGGTTTACCGTTAAATAGATGATAATTTTATGCTTGGTAATAGATGGAGTAATGAATTTCTCAATTTCATAGGATCAAAATCAGTGATATAATTGACAAAATGGCTCGTTATTTCTTAGAAATGAACGTTTATTATAAAACAAACTACAATAAAAATGTCGGCAACTATTTTAAAACGAAGGTAGTATACATACATACACATGTAGTCGAAGGTTACTTTTGAGAAGTGGTCAATATTTGAGAAGTAAAAAAGTGATATTGGTCCTTCATATGGTCAAGATCGGATTTGACTGATCAATAATTGCAGATTTGATTGGTCAAAAATTGCGACTATGCAAAAAATAGAGAGATAGTTTCGTAACTTTTATAAATATGCAGCAAACGGGTTCATATGTGAATCTTTGTGATCCACATATAAACTATATGTTCATATGTGCATCTGTGTAATTCAAAAATGAACTATTTTAATTGATTCACATATAAACCCTTGTGATTCACGTATGAACTAATTAACTGATTCACATATGAACATGTTGGTTCATATATGAATCAGTTAAGTAGTTCATATGTGAACTAATTAACGGGATCACATATGAACTCGTTTGTTGTCTATTTGTAAAAGTAATGAAACTCTCTCTGTCTTCTGCGTACCCATGTGAAGAATTATCTGATACTTCACGGTTAAAGCCACAAATGTTAACAAAATGAAAAGTTATGATCACCTTATTTTTCAAATATTTACCACTTCTAACATGAAACGTTTGCGCACGTGCACAAACACACACACACACACATATATATATATATATATATATATGAAAATGATTCAAAAATTTAAAAAAATGGTAGTTAGATTTGACCATAGAGTATTAAATTTAAATTAAAATAAAGTAAATAATTATGACGATTTTATTACTATTATGTAGTTTAATCTAAGCAAAAAGTTGATTATCGACAACCTTAATCGGTCTCATATGAAACCTGCTTTCAAGAACCTCAATTGTAAATGGGCATTTTTTGGCTTACTCAACGGTTGAGGCTGGGGGATAAGACCCGTAACTTGTCTTCTATTATATAGTTAAATCTACTGTAAATTTTGTTATTATTAATTTATAGTAAAAATCTGATTAATATAAAGAATCTAATCTGATATGATGTCATAGACTTAAAACGTATATAATACCATCGTATATGACTTCTAAGAACAATTAGCGAAAACCGGCCAGTTTGGATTTTTCATGGCTTCAGGAATAATGTGAACCGTGATGTTCGGTTCACTGATTCGGTGCTAAATTTAATATATTTAGATACAACAGAAAAAATAATATGATACAGTTTGTATATTGCATATTTTTCCACAAAAGATAATGTCTTTTTCAAAGTTTTGAAAGTTTTCTCGTTTCAAAATCGAGACAAAACATCATGTCGTTGTCAATCCTTTTGTGGTATTTTGTAGACATTTAATGGTTTCCGTCAAGAAAACAATCTCATAGGTTGACCGTAGAGTTCATATGTAAACAATGCTTATATTTCACATTAAGAAACGTAAGAGGTTGTTTGTTTACCTCTTAATAGTTTCATTAAAATGCAACATCTGAATCGTTAAGATGTGAATCTTGTTTGGCAAAAAAAAAATATGTCTCTTAATGGTTCTAAAACTCTCTGCATGATTTTATATCATGAGTTTCCCTTAACCATTAAGCGTCATAATTTTATTGTAAACAATCACCACACGATTATATTTCTTTTTACACTATATTATGAGAGCATCTTAATCATTTTGCATCAAATTATTCAGCAACTGCCAAACAACTTAATGAAACTATTAAGAGGTAAACAAAAAACTCTTAGCTTATAAAGCATGATAAAAATAAATAAATATTAAAATAAATATTATAAAATAAACACGTGGACTTAGCATAAAGACAAAAAACATGTGGGGGGCGGGACTGGTTTTATTGCTAAGGAATCCCAAATCAAGCAATTTTTGTTAACGTACAAGCCTCTTACATGTTGGATTCCACAATTTGATTGGTTACTCTATTTTTTATTTTATTTTTTATTTTTTTTAATAAATATTTGAGTAAATTACGGATTTAGTCCCTGTAATTATACACGAGGTATAGATCGAGTCTCTCAAGTGAAACAATTACATTTATAATCACCTTCGTTTCACTTTTGTTATGGATTGATAAGGATGCTCATGGGTTGGGTTGATCGGGTTGGAGGCATTTGAACAACTCAACCCAATGCTTGTGATTTGAAAAATCTTAACTCAACTCAACTCAAACCAACTTAACTCAACCGAAATCGTACGGGTTGGTTGGGTTGATACTTTGGTGCATTAAAATATTCTTCTAATCTTGAATATGTTATTTTCTCTATTTATAACTTTTTTTTCATCATCAACCATTTGATACAACTTATCCATACTTTTTACGTGTATCATATTCAATTAATTTTCTCAATTTACATATATATGTTCATAGTTGTTGAATATATATATATATGAATGAGTTATATAGAGATGTGAATAGATTGAAAATATGTGTATATGAAGAGCGTACGTGATATCGTAATTGTCTAATGTATATATTAATAGAAATTCAACAATCATATTGAATCCAATAAATAAAATGATATCTAGTTTATCGGGTCAGGTCGGGTTCAAATAGTAGTAACTCAATATCAATCCAATACATACGGTTTGAAATTTTTACAATTGGATCATACATCGGCTTGCTTCCGATTGAGTTATTTCGCGTTGGGTTGGGTTCCTCGGGTTTTTGAGCACCCCTATGGATCAGGTCACTTGTCATAACTCTACTAACGGTAACTCCATTAAATCAAGGCAGTTCTTGTCTTTTTATCCTTCGTTTTTGTTTAAAAATCAATACAATTGCATAGATTATATTAAGTAATGTATTATTCATATTACACACACATACACATATACACAGAGAAAATTCTTGCCGGCTTCCCCTGTCTCCGTCTTCGACCATCACCAACGTCTATCTCCCATGTTTTGGCGCATTTCTCTTGTACTGGTTCGTCAAAGTTGTATATTAATTAATTAAGGGTAAAAAAACGAAGTCAATCATGATGAAAGAGACGAAGTGATGACAACGTAATACTAAGAAAAAAAACGTTC